ATTGTGCAGGCTAGATTGACACTCGGGCGCAAGGCTGGTGAGATTACCCCCACGTACCACAAGACATATACTTGTCACTGATCTGTACGTGTTTGTAAACAAACGCCCTTATACAGAGATCTGAGCAGCCCAGTGCTGACTTAAACCTGATTCAGTTTGTTTTGAATAATAATTCAGATACTCTACGTCAACGCAGGCGCGTAGCAAGCCAATGTTTTCGTGTAAGTCCGATAGGTTGCAAAGCTTTATATTTAGATAGTATTGAGGGCTTACCCAACCTTCTTAACAACAATCTGTAAGCCCGGGCTTTTTTCATAATGGTTGCTACGCCCCTGCAACGGAAATGACAATGTCAATTTATCTTTACACAGCAAAGTCATCGATACAAGCGAGCGAGCGCGTGTAGTTTTACGCCGCTTTTAGCAATATTCCAGCAATATCCCGGCGGGGGACACCAGAAATGGGCTTCACACATTGTACCTATGTGGGGAATCGAACCCGGGTCTTCGGCGTGATGAGCGACGTCATCGATACAAAGGGTTCGATGTTTGCACGTGGAAATGTTAACCAATGTAAAAGGGTAGATGCAGTCGAATCTTCTTGTTGCGAACTCGTGGGACCTGGGAAAAGTTCGAATTATCCAAGATTCGACACAACCAATGGCAATTTTTAAATATAGAGGTGGCCATTTTGAAAAAGCTTAAAACGATGGAATGGTAATTCAACTATGAATACGGATTCGTGTATTATCTCAATATTTCCTGCATGAAAGCATGGCATTGGGAAAAAAAGCAAAACTCAAAAAGTGGGATCGGCAACTCATCTATGGTAACAGGTATCTAATTTTACGCCCAAAGGATAATTTCTCAGTTAAGTTATCTCATTTCGTAGAAATACGCTTGTCTGTATGTGTAGGCTTTCCAAAAATGAAATTAAAGAAATATTTCATTTGTTGAAGTGACTGGTCTGTGTCAGAACTAGGTTGAAAGCAAAGCACTACAAGTACGAGAGTAAACATAACCAATTTGCACAAGTTCAATGACCCAGTTTTGAATACTTGCATGTGTCAGCCAAGGGTGGATGCTCCGACCTGTATATTTCACCCGCCTACACGAACTCAGTCAGAGACTCTTTGAATGCTAAAAATAAGCTATTTACATAGACCATATTGCTTGTGGCAAAACCCCACCCAGTGAGCTGAGCTTCAGTAATCAATGCTCATCGTAAGATGTGTCTACAGAGATCAATGGTCATGCATGATATCGTATCCCAACTAAGGTGATCAGTGGTACATGATGTCAATCACCAGGTTGTCGGATCGAGATTCGATTATTTACAACCCGCAGTCAAAATGATTTTAATCACTGTAGATTGCAACGTTAAATAACAAATAAACGAACGAACGAACAAAAAAACGAAACAAACAGAAAAATCGACTTCAGCTTGCGTTGTTAAAGTGTTTTGTACATAATCCTTTAGAACAGAAGGGTAGAATCCTAATTGCTCATCATCTGTCTGAGTCATCAGCCCACTAGGCACTAGGTGCCAAATGCAGACATTACACACATATGTCAACAGGCTGGACGCGAAACTGGGTCTGAATGAATGGCGAGATTCCAGATCAAATAAGACGGTTCGGCTGTTGAATTACCATTCGGTGTCGAGCAAAAGTCCACTCAGTGGACGGTAATATTTGGACAAGTACACTCCCCGACCCTCTTAGAGCTGCTGAACATATTTATGTTTCACTCAGTACTAATATGTTATTCCAAATTGATTCCACTTGGGTGAATACACAGTTGAAACCAGTTGACATATATGTGCATTTCTGTTTATCTGCGTGTGTTTTAGAATGATTATTTAAATAAATATATAAGAACCACGTACCCTATCTTTGGAATACTTCTAAAGTTACGCCAAGCATGTTTGATATGTACCGAGTAGTATTATGACAAAGAGGTCACACAAAAATGACCATTGATTCACCATACCCTTTGGATTATATTTTGTTTTGTGGAATTGTGAATTTCATTAATGCGAATTAATGGATTAATCAGTGTTGTAAAACTCAACTACTAGGTATTCTGAAGAGGTGAGGTGAAATGGGTTTAACGTCGTACTTAAGAATATTTCGCTCATATGAAGACGTGCATGCGTGTGTATGTGTGGCTGCTTGTACTGCTTGTACTAGCCCAGACATAACGTGGTTTTATAGTGCTAGCTCACATGCCACAGTTAAGCATGAATACCCCACTCAGACACATTATACTGACTCCGAGCCAACCAGTCCTTGTTGTACCCATTAATGCCGAGCGCCAGGCAGGGGCCAACAAGTACCATATTTTAAAGTCTTTTGGTATGACGCGACCGGGGATCGAACCCGCGACCTTCCGCTCTCCGTATTCTGAAGAAGGCATATTGCATATACCCAATAGTATGTACTAATGGGTTAACCTATATTTTAAAAACGTAGATGTGTATTTCAGGATAACGTTATAATGTAATAACATTCTTAATATTTAGGTCAAGTCCATCTTTTCACTTTCTTTGCCCGTCAGTTTATAGACTCAATGTGTTGTTTGCAAAGAAATACAAAAGGATACCGTTAACAGAGCTTAAGAAACACGAGGACCACATTTTGCCCCCGCCCTGTTAAGAGAATGGTCTCATCCAAAGAGATTGATTTCGGTCATGTATTTCTGAACCGCCGACTATCGAAGCCGTTGTGAATAAATATTGACCCAGGTAAGTCGTCAAGGAATCCAATAACAGTACACATGCGGTATGTATGCTTTCTGACCATCGTGTTTGTTCAAACCGAGAAGATGCCACAGACTAATGGATCTTCTTGGGACAAAGATAGTCAAGTATATCGGAGTCCCCACATGTAAGCGTATGAGAATCATCAACGATATCGATCTATTTCTGAAGGTATTTTGAAAATGAATATCTCAATATTGTTCAAAGTTAGGATCGTGGTCACGTTATTGACAAAGACCCAATGATCCCATTGTTAGAACATATGCTTAAATTTAGGCTTAAACATTTCAACTTCAGAAAATAACAAACTGGATGTTTGATGTTTCAACTTATTTTCTCTACTCGCGAATACTAGAGACTAACCAGTCTCTATAATCTGCCAAACCGCCTCCATGGTGTAGTAGTTAGAGCGTCAGGCCGGAGAGCGGAAGTTCGCGGGTTCGATCCCCGGCCGCGTCATACCAAAAGACGTTAAAATATGGTACTTGTTGGTCCCTGCCTGACGCTCGGCTTTAATGGGTACAACAAGGACTGGTCGGCTCGGAGTCAGTATAATGTGTCTGAGTGGGGTATTCATGCTTCACTGCGACATGGTATCTCAGTGGGCTAGCACTATAAACCAGCTTCAGTCTGGGCTAGTACAAGCAGCCACACATACACACGCATGCACGTCGTCATATGAGCGAAATAATCTTAAGTACGACGTTAAACCCAATTTAATCTCACCCCATCTATAATCTGCCCCCCAAAAGTGTCCAAAATTTGAGGGAAAATGGTGATGAACAATCAAGTGAATGGGTCTCTGAAGTGACACCGGGTGTTCCCGAAAAGTGAGTGAGTGAATTGAGTGTTACGCCGCACTCAGCAATATTCCAGCTATACGGCGGAGGTCTGTAAATAATCGAGTCTGGACCAGACAATCCAGTGATCAACAGCATGAGCATCTATCTGCGCAACTGGGAACCGATGACATGTGTCAACCAAGTCAGCGAGCCTGACCAACCGATCCCGTAGTCGCCTCTTACGACAAGCATGGGTTACTGAATATCAATATTCTAACCGGGATCTTCCCGGGTAGTTCCCGAAAAGGTAAAGCTTGTTACCTGTCCCAATTTACATAAAAAAGTAAGCGTTTCTTGATCTACTCTAGATCTGTACCCAGCAGCACACCTGTCATGCAAACCTTGCCTGGATACAGTCAGGTTTTGACCACACACTATCCAGTGATAGAGAGTCTTGACTAGACAATCCAGTGATAGAGAGACAATCCAGTGACACAAAAGCGCATTTACTGCTTTTGTTGAAACTAAAAGCTGAAGGGACAGACGTAAATACTTCGAGTTATCCGAGATTGACACAACCGCAAAATAATGACTACTTATGGAAAGCGGCCAAGCTTTTACTTTGAGATAACCGTAATCTCGATACATTAATGTCCGACATATCGGTGTTCGACTTGGTTAACTTTGACCAACATCCGCTGCTCAGAAGCTCAGATATTCTTCTGATTAAAAGTACAGAGAAACACGAATACATGAGTTCAAGTTAATATTCTACAGTCTACTGTGGTGGCGCGTGGTCCTGTGCTCAAAGCTCAGGTCACAAATCGGTGAGGTTAAGCAGCGTCGAGCTCGGAGAGTCCTTGGATGGGTGACTGTGTTTGGCAGCTTGACTCCTGAGAGTTTCTAGGACTTGAGTCCTGCCCCACAACGAAGCACATGTGACACATGTGGTCTCACCTTAGGCAAGTGAGTTTGTTCAAAATTGTCTCTGTTCACCCAGCAGGAAAATGGGTACCCGGTGGAAAAAAGTCACATGACTATAACCTTCTAGCGCCTAACAGGCAGCTTGGGTTATCCGGGGTAATAATGTGCTGTGCCTTGATTGTTAGCGCTATGAGCATACCTAGTGTGGAGTTTGGCGCTATATAAATGGACACATTATTATTATTATTATTATTATTATTATTACTTATTATACTGGGTATTTACCCCAAGGAGTGTTAAAGTTTCTGAAACCAATAGTCTATCATATTAAACACCTTTCAAATAGATATTGAAGTAAAGGCCAGAAAATATCCGCCAGGACAGATTTCATCAGGCGAATATGCAAAATAGTGGAGACAATTATACAAATGGATCACAGTGTTTGGGTGAGCTTATCCCGAAACGTAGTCAGCTAATAGCAGCTGAGCAATGATGGAGGATGCCATTGTGAAATAAACATAATAGACACTCTTGAAAATGTTAACAAAACAGTTTATTCAACAGAGTTATATGTACAAAGTAGAAAATAAACTCAATAAATGCAAAGAAGGTATGGAAAGTGAAGAAAACACATTGGGGAGAATGTGAAATTGATCTGTGTGTACCACCGGTTTGGACATCAGTTAATCAGGATATTAGTTTAATATGGTGCCGAATGCGACTGAGGTCGTTGCCGTTTGATATTTTGACAAATAATGCATTGATATGGTACTTCCAGACCAAGGGTAATAATCGGCAAATCTGGGATTCGAACCTAGGAACAGCGGATCCTGACAGGAAATAGTCAGAACAAAATGAAGAGTATACGAAACGTTTACATGAACAATACTTATGTCGAAGAAAGGCACTGAACGTTTTAACAGCAAACAGAACGTAAAATTATAATTTCTCTGTCTCTGCAGACGCAGCTTGTAGTTACACCTGCAATGAAGAAAAGACCTGTGTTACTTGCTGTTTGTGTTCGTTTCCTAGCCTACATGGCTTGTGATTGACAGCTATGGTTAAATGTGTGAATTGGTGGTCAGTTCGTTGAGTTGTAATACAATGTGGATGTCCATTTTCCCAGGATGACATCTTTTGTAATGGCTTAATCATTAGTTTTGGTTTGGAAGCTATTCAGGAAGTCTCACCCATAGTCTTTTGATATCAGATGTATCAGCAGAGTTCAAAACAGTTTTAACTGTTATGGGCGAGTGATTGATGTTAAGACAGAGGCGAGATTCTATAAATCATTCATCATCATTCTTCCAATGTTATCAGTTTGTAAACAGCAGTAACCATTGTCTTGAGCAAAGAATTTAGAGTTGACTGGTTTGGGTGGCGGAAGGATTACCTGAAGCCTTTATCATACCCTGTCGTTAAGTAATTCATTTGAACCCCAAGAAACATGACTGACAAAAAAATGCCAGAATCCAAGTGAATTTATTGACCTTTTAAGATCAAAAAGCAACAAAACACTTTCTAGTTCACAGAAAATATTGTTCACATGCTTCTAATCCAGTGTCATATAATTATACTTTCTACCCAGTTGGGATTCCGTGTTAAACAAACATAGAGAACTTACTAATCAGAGGTGAAAGGATCCTTGGTCGTGGTCGACTTCTTGTCCTCTGTGTACGTGACCAAGTACATCTCTTCAAACTGCTTGGCGTGTCTGATGAAGGTTTGGGCGCCATTACACATGGACTTGATGAGCCCCGACATGAACACCTTCTTCTTCTCATCGGCAGACATCTTGGACATCTTCTGGGCCAGCATCGCCATATCACCAGTTTCCATGGCCATGCTGACGTTGCTTGAAGTCATGTTGTCCATGAGGTCGGTGCCGTTACGGATGCTGAACATCGAAAGCCTGTGGCAATATAGAAAAGAGCGAATGAGTAACATCATAGTTTTTTCCCCCTTTTAGCAATAGCCATGCAATATCATGGAGGGGGATAGCATTATATAGCATTATAACGTCATGTTTTGTGACTTTCATTCTTCGGCTGGTCAGGTTTTGAGCTTTTGATGCCAACTTTCTTTCAAAACTATAGGACATGGCTCTCTAAAATACTGGGATGTATTTCAAAAACAACATATTCCAAAATCTCTTTCTGGAAGGGTCTTAGGACAGAGGTGTCGGCGAGGGGTCAAATCACATCGAAGATGCATTTCGATTTCAATTACAGCCAGCATGTGTGAAATAGGCTCACTCTCTCGTCTCATGGTGTATCCATTTTGGAAGTGTAATCAAGTACAATGCCATTAACTCGATACATCGTAATGATTCTTGTTGATTTGCTTTAAGTTTCTATGGTTAAATATCAAATTCCGCTTGTCTCAAACTGCGGATTATACGATCAATTTTCGACTGACTAGAGGAGTTACTATGATTTCACTGTACATGTTTACTTACTTTTCCATCTGTTCAGAGACCTCATTGCACTGGCAAAGTTGGAGGAACTCGTGAGTCAGCTGAAAGGCGAACTTGTGTTTCTGGGTCTGGAAGGAGTCGATCATCTCCTTGAAATCTTCCTCCTTCTCCTCTCTCTCCTTCATCTCCTTCTGCTTCTGCCACAGCTCATACATCTTCTCCTTCTCTTCCTCCATCTTCTTTTCCTCCATCATCTTCTTGTGGGACATGAACTCCTTAAACTTCTTATACTCCTCCTTCATCTTCTCGGCTTTCTCTTCCTGGTGTTTCATCATCCAAGCCTTCCAGTCGTCATCGTCATCAGCCTTGCATCCGTCCGGGTCGCCGGCATAATGCTCCTTCTTCTCCTCCTCCATCTTCTTCTGCCACATCTTCATCATGTACTGCATCATCATGTCCTTGTCGTCAGCCTTCTGTTCCATTGGCCAGGCTAGAGCCAGTGGCAAAAGGACCAACACGAGGGCAAACTTGGCTACCATCCTGTCTGAAACATGGTCAATGAGGAATTGTCATTCAGGTTTATAAAGGAATTTTTGGTATCTGCTTCAATTGAAAAAAATAGAAAACGTTTAGAAATCATCATGAAAGATATCCAGTGTATTCATATTTATTTTTAGAACTATACTTTGTTCATTTCAACGTTTTCATGTTTTGGACAACATTAAATGAACATTTATTTAAAACGATTTAAGAGGTTTTTCTTTTTTGAATATTGTTAGGCCCTTAAGAATTTCTTAAGAGAGGTAGATAACATTAGTACAAACATAACGTAAAACTCCCTTAGGTCACCGCTTAGATTTTCTCAAAATCTGTCACTTTCAGTCATTAACCATAATTTGGATGTATTTAATCATATCGGAAGAGATAGAAAGGCGGTTCAACGAAAATATTTTGACATATATGAATATAACGGATGGATTCCATCCAATCCATATTGAAATTATCGATGATAATAAATATACATTTTGTGAATGGATCAAAAGGCCATTTTATCAAAGTCGTAAGTCCTCCTTACATTTAAACACCTATTAACGTTTTACGTGCACTGGGATGAAATATTCACTGCAATAATCACTGCATTTCATTTTGTTGTTTATGCCAAAGTATGTGATTAATTGACACCAAATACAGTGTCTGTAAGTATTGCATGAAGAGCACAATCGTTAAGACAAATTTATGTTTTCAGTTCAAAGTAGGTTTCTATGAAAGTTTATTCGTTAACATTGCATTTTGATGTTTTACGTTTCATTTGATATCGATAAGAATGTAAATTTCTCCTTTGAAATGTTGTATAAATGTGCATTGGGCATTGGTTGAGCCAAACATTTAAAACCAATACAAAGATGTAGATGGTTACGTCACTGTATATTTATGTCATATAAATACATATACGTCATAATGGTTAGACACAACATTCAGTGTGTCACAATGTTTCCCCTTATTAATATGTCCAGTTTTGATTATACAAATAATCGATACCTGATTGAATTCTAGTCGACAAACTGATTTTTCCTTAAATTTTCATCTAACAGAATTTCGGTCTGACGTTTTGGTGTATCCGATACTTCATCAAACGCATTATCTAGGTATCCATATATCATATAAGGTAAAAACGGTTACATTTAAAAAGTAGTCAACGTTTAATCAAAATATCAATTTCAAACTATGTTGTAAAATTTATTCGTCAATGAAAGTTACATTGACATCAGACATCACAAGAATGATAATTTCGTTTCATATGATATTAAAGCTTTATGGAATTGTTAAACACGAAAGTGAAACTGACCTGTATCTTCACCTGACGATCGGATCGCTGCCTTGGAAGAAATAGGAAGGGCTGGGCGCGGCTGATCTTTTATAGTTATGCCACCGGTCGGGCCGGTTATAACACAATACTTGAGCTCCATTGATTGACTCCATCAGCAGCGTGGTTCCCATGGCAACAGGTAAACCATCAACAGAATAAATATTCAAGTGATCTTGGAATTGAAAGATGATTGGCGATTTTAGAAATATTACATGATGATGCCAATTCCAAGGGAAACGTTATATATGAGCATAAACATTCTGACATGAGAATCCATATAACACACATTCTACCTACGTGTTTGAATACATACGTTCTCTTTTGAGAGTACATTCAGTACACATTAACCATAAATGTATGAGTATAAACCTTTCCCCCTGAGGGTACAAGTTCCCCCTATATGTCTGAGTATATATATATAATCCAACATTTGTACATACAGTACGCATTCGCATTGCATGAATGAGTATAAACTCTATACCCTTAGAGTTCAGAGATCAAACGTTCTCCCTTCTCAATATAAACCTTGAGTCTCCCTTGAGAGTATAGAGAGTGAAGATTCTCCTAATATGTATGGGTAAAAACATTCTTTCTAGAGAGTATATAGAGTATATATTCTCTCATCGTGTTTGAGCATAGGCAGTCTCTCTAGAGAGTATACAGTGACCGGATTGTCCCAACATGTATGAGTATAAACAGTCTCTCTAGAGAGTATACAGTGACCACATTGTCCCAACATGTATTAGTATAAACAGTCTCTCTAGAGAGTATACAGTGACCACATTGTCCCAACATGTATGAGTATAAACAGTCTCTCTAGAGAGTATACAGTGACCACATTGTCCCAACATGTATGAGTATAAACAGTCTCTAGAGAGTATACAGTGACCACACTGTCCCAACATGTATGTGTATAAACAGTTCTCTAGAGAGTATACAGTGACCACATTGTCCCAACATGTATGAGTATAAACAGTCTCTCTAGAGAGTATACAGTGACCACATTGTCCCAACATGTATGTGTATAAACAGTCTCTCTAGAGAGTATACAGTGACCACATTGTCCCAACATGTATGTGTATAAACAGTCTCTCTAGAGAGTATACAGTGACCACATTGTCCCAACATGTATGTGTATAAACAGTTCTCTAGAGAGTATACAGTGACCACATTGTCCCAACATGTATGAGTATAAACAGTCTCTCTAGAGTGTATACAGTGACCACATTGTCCCAACATGTATTAGTATAAACAGTCTCTCTAGAGAGTATACAGTGACCACATTGTCCCAACATGTATGTGTATAAACAGTCTCTCTAGAGAGTATACAGTGACCACATTGTCCCAACATGCATTAGTATAAACAGTCTCTCTAGAGAGTATACAGTGACCACATTCTCCCAACATGTATGAGCATAAACAGTTCCTCTAGAGAGTATACAGTGACCACATTGTCCCAACATGTATTAGTATAAACAGTCTCTAGAGAGTATACAGTGACCACATTGTCCCAACATGTATGTATATAAACAGTCCTCTAGAGAGTATATACAGTGACCACATTGTCCCAACATGTATGTATATAAACAGTCTCTCTAGAGAGTATACAGTGACCACATTGTCCCAACATGTATGAGTATAAACAGTCTCTCTAGAGAGTATACAGTGACCACATTCTCCCAACATGTATGAGCATAAACAGTCCCTCTAGAGAGTATACAGTGACCACATTGTCCCAACATGTATGAGTATAAACAGTCTCTCTAGAGAGTATACAGTGACCACATTGTCCCAACATGTATGAGCATAAACAGTTCCTCTAGAGAGTATACAGTGACCACATTGTCCCAACATGTATTAGTATAAACAGTCCCTCTAGAGAGTATACAGTGGCCACATTGTCCCAACATGTATGTATATAAACAGTCCCTCTAGAGAGTATACAGTGACCACATTGTCCCAACATGTATGTATATAAACAGTCCCTCTAGAGAGTATACAGTGACCACATTGTCCCAACATGTATGAGTATAAACAGTCTCTCTAGAGAGTATACAGTGACCACATTCTCCCAACATGTATGAGTATAAACAGTCTCTCTAGAGAGTATACAGTGGCCACATTGTCCCAACATGTATGAGTATAAACAGTCTCTCTAGAGAGTATACAGTGACCACATTGTCCCAACATGTATGAGTATAAACAGTCTCTCTAGAGAGTATACAGTGACCACATTGTCCCAACATGTATGAGTATAAACAGTCTCTAGAGAGTATACAGTGACCACATTGTCCCAACATGTATGAGTATAAACAGTCCCTCTAGAGAGTATACAGTGACCACATTGTCCCAACATGTATGTGTATAAACAGTCTCTCTAGAGAGTATACAGTGACCACATTGTCCCAACATGTATGAGTATAAACAGTCTCTCTAGAGAGTATACAGTGACCACATTCTCCCAACATGTATGAGTATAAACAGTCTCTCTAGAGAGTATACAGTGACCACATTGTCCCAACATGTATGTATATAAACAGTCTCTCTAGAGAGTATACAGTGACCACATTGTCCCAACATGTATGTGTATAAACAGTCTCTCTAGAGTATACAGTGACCACATTGTCCCAACATGTATGTGTATAAACAGTCTCTCTAGAGTATACAGTGACCACATTCTCCCAACATGTATGAGCATAAACAGTCTCTCTAGAGTATACAGTGGCCACATTGTCCCAACATGTATGTATATAAACAGTCTCTCTAGAGGTATACAGTGACCACATTGTCCCAACATGTATGTGTATAAACAGTCTCTCTAGAGGTATACAGTGACCACATTGTCCCAACATGTATTAGTATAAACAGTCTCTCTAGAGAGTATACAGTGACCACATTGTCCCAACATGTATGTATATAAACAGTCTCTCTCTAGAGGTATACAGTGACCACATTGTCCCAACATGTATGAGTATAAACAGTCTCTCTAGAGAGTATACAGTGACCACATTGTCCCAACATGTATGAGCATAAACAGTCTCTCTAGAGAGTATACAGTGACCACATTGTCCCAACATGTATGTATATAAACAGTCTCTCTAGAGAGTATACAGTGACCACATTGTCCCAACATGTATGTGTATAAACAGTCTCTCTAGAGAGTATACAGTGACCACATTGTCCCAACATGTATGTGTATAAACAGTCTCTCTAGAGAGTATACAGTGACCACATTCTCCCAACATGTATGAGTATAAACAGTCTCTCTAGAGAGTATACAGTGGCCACATTGTCCCAACATGTATGTATATAAACAGTCTCTCTAGAGAGTATACAGTGACCACATTGTCCCAACATGTATGTGTATAAACAGTCTCTCTAGAGAGTATACAGTGACCACATTGTCCCAACATGTATGAGTATAAACAGTCTCTCTAGAGAGTATACAGTGACCACATTGTCCCAACATGTATGAGCATAAACAGTTCTTCTAGAGAGTATACAGTGACCACATTGTCCCAACATGTATGAGTATAAACAGTCTCTCTAGAGAGTATACAGTGACCACATTGTCCCAACATGTATTAGTATAAACAGTCTCTCTAGAGAGTATACAGTGACCACATTGTCCCAACATGTATGAGTATAAACAGTCTCTCTAGAGAGTATACAGTGACCACATTGTCCCAACATGTATGAGTATAAACAGTCTCTCTAGAGAGTATACAGTGACCACATTGTCCCAACATGCACTAGTATAAACAGTTCTTCTACAGAGTATACAGTGACCACATTGTCCCAACATTGTATGAGCATAAACAGTCCCTCTAGAGAGTATATTGAGTACAAATTCACCCACCATGTTTGAGCATAGTCCGTCACCCTAAAGAGTAGTTGTAATGTGTGCAATAAGAAAGGTATGTATGCTGTTTAACGCTTCACCCATCAATATACCAGTTATATGTATATGTATGTATGTATGTTCCAGGTATATGTATCCATACAAACACCACCCCACATACACCCATACATACATACACACACACACACACACACACACACACACATACATACATACATACATACATACATACATACATACATACATACATACATACATACATACATACATACATACATACATACATACATACATACATACATACATACATACATACATACATACATACATACATACATACATACATACATACATACATACATACATACATGTATTTTATAGGCTGTTGGCCCATGTGCAATAAAATACAATTTACGATATACAGAGTAGCAAATTATACAGAGAAAAAAAGCAGTTAACTATTGTAACAGATTTTCCAACAGCAAGAGCTTCTTTAATATATTTCGAACCGTTAAAAGTATATGGGTATAATTGCTGCTAATGAAATGAAGATATTTATTTATATATATTTATTCTATATATACAGACACATCATTTGTCATGGGTATTAGAACAGCTCACATGTAGTATCCATCCCCATACTATCAACACCAATGCAAGACAACCATAAGAGTTATGGAATTATATATGTATAAAATCCAAAGTAACTCTAATACCTGTTTTCAGAGGGAGATGAATGAAGACTAGATTTCCACTACAGCATTTAATATGTATGATACCTGCAATAACTGTAAAATGATAAAATTCGTATCTATGAATCCTCTTTCAGGTGGAGCAGAAACTGCAGCAAATCCAACAATGTGCTAACTTTAATTTTTATATTTTCCACGTTAAAGAATATTGTTTTGTGCTCTGGCACTCGGGTTACCTGGAAACAGTAATGATTTCCCTTATGTTTAAACAGGTTTTACTGTTTGTAAACGACTATATCGACTTGCGCTTCAGGGCATCAAGAAGATGTTTGTTCGTTGCATCAGGTAGATGTTTGTTCATTGCATAGCTGTCGGAATACATTTGTAATCTACAGTGTTGCATTGAATGTAAAAGCATTATCATGCACGGTGTTGTCTTGGATACATAAAACGGAAACGAATGTTTACGCACAGAATGGTTAATAATGTTTTCTTCACC